TCTTCTGACATCCATTTTGGTCTTTTCTTCCTCTTCTGTCTTTGCAATGACTGTTTGCACTCTTCCTGTATGATATCCTTGATATTCTCCCATAACTCATCTGATCTTCGCTCATTAGTGTATGTCTATGATAATATAAAAATTATACATATTTAAAAGACTTCACTGAAAATAACTAATAACACAATCTTCAAGGGGTGACTAAGGAAGATTTTCTGCAAAGATGACTTCTGAACAAGTAGCTTCAGGGATGAGGGGCCCTGCAGAGCTGGACAGCATCAAGGCCAAGGAAACAACAGTAATGTCTTAATGAAGGTATGTCTGGCTTATCTAACAGCAGCAATAAGGCCTGTGGCTGGTGCAGGAGATGTGAAGGGGAAAGGAACAGCTCACATTATTCACAGGAGAAAACCTAAGAGAAAGGAGAGGCTGGTCAGAGGATGGAGAGAGGAGCGAGCAGGAAAGAAAGCCATGCTGTGTACGGAGCCAAGTGAGAGCACAAAGACCTTGCCTCACAATCCAGGGACCCTTCATAAACACCTACTTTAACTTTTCGGCCTTTATTGCTGATAGTGGTCAACTCAACAAACTCATTGCCAATGAGTCAGATTTCATCCATAGCTGACCCTTCAGAAGGTTTTCAGATGCTATAAATCACATGGGAGGAGAGATTGCCCGTCTTTCTACCACGGAGCAGCTAGTGGATTTGAACTACTTGCCTTTGGATCAGCAGTGCATCGTGTTTCCTGATAGCCACAAGCAAAAGGAATGCTAACAACTTGGGGTATTATTGCTCAACGAGGCATTTTATTCTGGCTGAATATCCCTGGCATCACTTCCAAAGTAATATTTACAATTCATGTAATTTTACTTTTCTTGTAAAGATAAAACTTCATAAAAATGTGCATTATCCAGAGTTTATAAGAGGTGGAGAGAGAGAAATAGGATCTGCTGCCAATGTTATGTAGTATAATGTCTTTCTCTAACTCTGGGTCTCAGAGCAGTTGTTCTCCACGAGCCAGCCCCAACTGCAAAGGCTGCTCTGCCCCAAAGGACTGGACTCACTCCACCTGACAGTCATCTCTCTGTTTAAATTGTGTTTTACCTAACCTCCCTGCAACGTGAGTGTTGTAAATCCTAACTTCTCTGAGGCTTTAATCCCATTTGAGAACTAGTTGTCTGTGTTATGTTAACAAGGTAGGATCAATGTATTTATTCTAAATCAATATTTTTTCTTCATTCACATTGTGTTTCATAGAATCATTCCCATGCATATGTTTTATAAAATTAATCACCATTGGACTACGCCCATCATTATCCTGTCTTTTCAGGTCGCCACCAGATCTTTACCATTTCCTTTTCCCCTTCGTCCACGCATCTAATTGTGCAACCCTATGGCTTTGCCCCGACCAATCCTCACCTCTCTCCCACCCCTTCCCTCCTTGGGTCCCCATACATGTTTTATTACTAGTTATCCTCTATTTTTACAACAATGGTCTTATGATGTATTTGTCGTTATGAGACTAAGTTAGTTTACTCAGCATAATGCTCTTGAGTCTTCCCAAGTTATGTAGTATTTTTCAAAATAGTTGCTCCTGCTTGCTGCGTAGTATTCCATCATGTGAATGTACCACAATTTCTGAATCAAATCAGTTGTGGTTAGATATTTGGGCTGTTTCTATGTCCCTGTGATGGTTAATAACACTGCTATGAACACTGGTATACAAATCTCCATCTGTGTCTCAATTCTAATTTCCACTTCCTAAACAACATGCCACCAGAAACTCTATGAACTTTGATAAGTGTCAATAGTTGTAGAGGGACTTCAGGCCTTTTGATCATAGGGTTGCTATGATTCATACTCAACTTGAAGGCAATCAACAACAATAACAACAAAA